CATAACTATAAGGTCACCCTAAAATATTGCATTTCCGGGACCAACAGCCAACTGGTGATTTTTCCACTATCACCAAATGATTCCCCACTACGAATAACCCCCGTATCGCAATTTTATCCACCACAAGGAATCCCGCCTTACGAATAACCCCCGTATCGCAATATTTAGGGTGACCTTATAGTTATGAAACGCACTGTAGGAATTTCCCTCGTGACTGCTTGAACCAGCAGAATGTCTTCAGAGGAAAGCCGAGAATTCCCTACGATTAAAACTGATGGGTATTTTCAGTTCGGTGATGCATTCAAATCGGCATGTGAAGGGATGAGCAAAGCGCTGGAAATCATCCGATCACCGGGTAAGCCCACCAATGTTTCCAATTCGACCAGCCATCCGCCAATCAATCAAAGTTTACGGCCCATGCACAATCAGTTGCTCGTTCTCTCCCCGTCTGAATGGGAAGATGTCGATTAAGAAAACGTGTTACGGCTTGTCTTCGATTATTCAATACTGTGACATAACGTCATTCAAAAGCGCAAGCAAGTCAGTTAAAGGGGGGATTCGCGCTGAGGCAACCCTTTCAAATTAAGTTAAGGATGGTCAGTGATACAAGAAAGAAGGAAAAACCATGAGAAACGGCCCGGAACCCGAGAAATGGGACCCCTTCCTTGTCCGTTGATTTCCGCACTTGATGCGACTCTCATCGTGCCCTCTTCAACGCTAACGCTCTCCTGCTATGTCGGTGGGCGTGCAGCGCCAACACGCCAGGAGTGAGCCATGCTAGATCGCCGAGGTCAAATCTTTCGCTGCAATTGCGTGTCGGTCAGCACCCTCAGGAGGTCCGCTGTCTCCAAACTACAGGCAATTTCCCCTTTTTGACCTTTGTTCTTATCGTGAATCCTCCCTCATGTTGACATTCACCACAGACCAGGGCTTACCCGGGACCTCATGCTGAAGTTGTGTAGGATGATGGGAACATGTGCTTAGAGGCATGATTTCGTGGTCGCAAATGTGAGAAGTGAGGCACGAAATGAAAGTAACTGGAGTGAAGTGCAAGAGCGAAAGGTTAGAATTTGTTATCCTTTTTAAGTATAATCGTTGTTCATCATTGTTCAAAGTAACGTTCCCTAATTATCCTCTGCCCCCAAGATGAACCTATCAGATGTGATTATTAGAGACAACGTGAAAAAGCTACCTGAAGAAAATGAATAATAAAAGAAACAAAGTTCTGAAATACCCCAGTCTGGACGGTCAGCGGGTAGGTTGGGCGGAGAGAAGATAACGCGTAGGAGAAGTGCGTTCCGGAGGAAGTCCCGTTTCGGTGGAAAACAGGATACGCATTGAAAGAATCAGGCCGAAATTGGAGAATAAAGACAGAACGATCCAAAAGAATAGGATGCAATCGAGATGTGTGCTATTGCCGTAGGTAGAAATGCAAAAAGACTCGTAGGGCACTTTTGACCAGCTGAGTGGAATCGTTTTGTTCGCCATTATTTGCGACAGATATACGGCGGGAATCGATAACTTAAGGTTTTGTTCTTTCGCCCTCATTGCGACTGATGGATTTCAAGCCAGTGATTTTTTGATGAGATTAAATTTATGATGGGTTCATAGACCCCTGAACCTTTAACTGCGGGCGCTCAAATGCGGATCAGATTTTGGCAAGACCCTCGTGTCTCTGACTTTCGTCTGAATTCGAATTGTGACTTCTACAGCTCCGTCCAGTTAGGCCGACGCAAGACGATTCTGCAGCCAATAAATCCTGTATCATCCGAGTGGCTAAAACAAGGAAGCTAAATTTTGTTCAAATGTTAATAACATCTGACCCCCTCCCAACTATAGCTGCATGGCTGTTTCCGTACTGTTTGATTCCGGCACCACCTGATACTATGATAACTTTGCTTTTCCAAAAGTACGAACGATTGTCTGATTTTCGTAAAATTTCGTGAATTCTCTAACCGAAGTAAAAGGTTCATTTCCTCATTTCGTCTTCTCGTACATTCCAAGAAAAATAATGCTGGTTGACAGAACTGCACGGTTGCGTTCTCATCTGAAAAATCAAGTATATCGATTGCTGGAAAACTGTACGCGGCACTTGACGTTTCATTAGCAAGTTTGATATGCATTTTGAGCAGCAATGCCGTCACCGGTAAACAAGTATAAACAAGTGTAATTAGAAGAAAATTACAGGTCGAACACAATAGGAATGCAATGGAAAATATGTAGTGGTCTATGCCCTATATACAGGGCAGGGGGGCAAAAAAAAAGAGTCACTTTGCATATGCCGCACATCATCAAATTTTTCTTCACAGGATGCCGTTGTTGATGAATGTTTGACGGCAGAATATTCCGTAAGTGTCCCCCTATAAGCAGAAGCAACCCCTCCTTCACTGCCCTCACGACCTTCGGAATATGACGTCATCTGCCGTCGACATCGAGCTCAACGAGGCTCACCTTAGTCGCTCCGGCCTGAAGCTGCAACATAATTTCTTCAATCGGTTAACTGGTGAATAGCTTCCCAGAGACACTAGCTGTGACTATGCAAGACCGCTTTTGACCAGCGTTTCAGGGACGTCGTAATGGTCTATGGTACCTCGACGACCTCGTTGAGCTCGTACCGTGAACCATGTTTCCGTGGGAAAATCTTCTGATGTCGTCAGTGTAGAAGGCTGTCATGTAACCTTTTGATAGACTTGAATGTGCTCTTTAATATGCAATTGGGCTCATTCGATTTGGTTTCGCAGTTAGTAGATTAATTGGTATTGAATGTGGAGGGAAGTGACTCTTTTTTTGCCCCCCCCCCTGTTTATTAATAATTTGGAACACTATAAATGGTGAAGCCTTAACTGATAGAAATCACTCAAATTTTTTTCTCGACGGTGATAAGCTACAAGGCATAAAGTATTCAAAAGCGTGAATGAGCAAATTTTTAGGTGAAATCTCCATCCAAGCTGAAATCGCCAAAATGACCGTCATCTAAGTAGTCTGCAAGACAGAAGTTAACCCTGCATCATGTGAAAATCCGATTATTGCAGAAATTGCTATGAAAAGATTGGCCCAAACTGTCCCGCTTTTGACACACTTACCGTTCCTGTTCAGGGTACGTGGAGCGAACAGGCTGGAAAGTCGATTGCAGTAATGATCATGTCACAGTTCATTACAAAGATATCGATGGACTTCGACACTTCGCTGCAAAGGTAAGAAAACTTTATTGTGAAGTGAATAGATAATTTTGGAAAATCGCAGACCCACCAGACAAGCGCATGATTCGAGAGAGCCATTTGCCTATCGGGATTCAATTTTGTAAATTTTTCTCGAGAGTGTTCTTTCTAGTTCGCTCTATAATCTACTTGGCATTCGACTCGTATTCGGTTAAGACAGCGGTCGTGATGGTCGGAAGGGGGGGGGGGGTTTCGATGAAGTCATTGGTGGATGGGCATTATTAAGCGCACCCTCACCAGGAGGTCTTTAAGGTCGTGCAGGGATTTTGAAAAAAAAATCTGGTTTTTGCATGAGATAGGGGCACATGCACGAAACACGTAACGAATCATTTTTCCTAAGAGGCTCTCTGAGTGTCAGAAAGTGAGTCAAAAAAGCTCAAGCAATATACCTTTTAGACATAAGTTTTCGGCAGAAGCCATCTATGGGATACTGATGGTCCTGATGGTAATAGCGTTCATTAATACCTGCGGTTTCCATTTCAGGACGTCGCGCAAGCATCAGTCGGAAAAGCAAAACTTTGCCATCACGAGGGATTGATTCATGAACCAATCGTCCGTCGCTTTTTTGCCCTTATCGACGAAAAGGGGGGGTCGTATTCGCATGGTAGGAAGGCAGCGTCAATCCTACACCAACGGTGGGGGTCGTAGTGTGACGCTTTACGCTTTGTGAGTGCTAAGAAAAATTTGCCGTTCCACTGTTGATATATATTATGTACCCCCTCCGCTCGACGGCTATTTTGGAGGAAATGTGGGTGGGGTTGGGCTGTGTCAACTGGTCTCAGAATCAAATACTATAGTAACAGCTCTGATGGTAAGGGTGGTGGTCGTTATTGGTGGACCTCCTGGTGGTGAAGGGGTCGTGAAAAATTTCCAAAAAGTCCCAACGGTAGGGTTGACCCTGGGGGGGTCTTAAAATTTTTGAAATTTGTCCAACGTGACGGTTGACCCTGTTCCCGACGCAATTTTACTATGGCGGTCAAGTCTTTCACACTGCCTACTATGTTAAGGGTGTTACTGACACAAATTTTTCCGATGAGGCTATTAAACTTCAGTGAGCGCCGAGGTGTGGCTCCGCGATATGAATGGAATGGAATCACCCTCCTTTAATGAGTGCGGCAAGTAGGAGTTATTGCCTTCTTCTCACTGGCGGGCAGGGTTAATGGCGTATTTCGTAGAAGATAAAGATTCGGTCATCGTACTGGGCAGAGAACATCGGTCTGGGAGCTTTTAAGCACATATGAGGGGAAAAGCAACCTGAATTCAAAAAAAACCTCAAGACGTACTTACTCTGAAAGCAAATGCTAGGTTGTATAGCACAAAGAGGCACTAACATTTTATTCAAAAAAACTGTTTTCCATAACTTTAACAAGCCTTCAGATTTACTTAAATATTCCCAAAAAAAACAGTCAGCGAAGGAATACCTTTGGAACTCTTTGGGCTATCCGCCTGCTGTAGCACCTGCGGTTCAAGTCGCAGATTTTGGGGGGGGGGGATGGTGCTACACTTTCGGGATACACTATCCCTTTCTACTCTTTGACTCTTTGAGAACTGTGTACCTCAAAGAGAATCTACTCTTTGAGCTACACAGTTCTGAACTGAGATCATGTGCAAGCCAGCGTTTACTCCTCCCAGGAATCCAGTAAAGATTGACTTCGCTGGTGTGCGAACGCTGTACTTTCAGACGATAGTTGCTGTACCAGCTACAGTGCTCGTCGGCATTCACACTGCGAGATTTGAGCGAAAAATCAGAAGGACTTACAATGACAACTATGAAATTTCGGCATGAACGTGCGAGGCGGGCTCACCGATGATATTGACGGTCGCCCATGTGAGTGTGTGCAGTCTTTTCATAGAGCAATGGTGAGTGTGTATATCGAATATCCCTACTATCACTACTATATATATTCGCTAAGTATGTCTGTCTGTGTGTGTGTGTGTGGGTGTCTGTGTGTACGTCCGTCTGTCACGAAATTCATAGCGCGCTTCGCTGCAGGCATGGAACGCTGTATTTTGAGTATGGTGTAGGGGTGGGACGGCAACATATTTGGTGGGGTTTATAAAGTGATACCGACTGATAAGATCTGATAAGAGGCGCTGAAACGCAAATTTCACGAAATTCATAGCGCGCGTCCCAGCAGCAGTGGGGCGTTGGTTCCAAGAAGTGATGTACAGGGTGGGACGGGAACATGTTCGGTGGGGTACAGGAAGTGATAAGGGCCGATAAGGGCCGATAATTACGATATAACGTAGGAACATATAGATCGCTTTAACAGTTAGATAACGCATTTCACTTCAGTATCATCTCATTGCGTTGTTGTCATCAACATAAAATACCGTTCGACCGCTAAATTCCCAAAGTCCCTAAGAATGTATGATGGATGTTTAGCGATATACGATAATGGGTATTTCTATTGCAAAATCGTTATCGGCATATCAATCTATGGAGCATGTTTACAGATAACCACTTTATCATTCCGCCCTACGCGCGTTAATCAGGACGTGTGAGCCTTATAAATGGGAGTCCATGGAGGTCCAGTTAACGACTTCACGAAGGAAGTTTTGTTTTTTGCGAGTGTGGAACTTACGCTCATCGGCTAGGGCCAGCTTCACGAGCCCTTCCAATATTCATTGCACGATAGCAGTATTGCGGCCCTTAATTGGTGTCGTGAATTTATTTCCTTTCTCAATTTGCTCGAGCTTGGCGTAGTCATTTTATGTTATATACTGAGCACATTCAACGACGGTCAATGTATTGCGGAAAGGTCCATCCGGGGTCAACCGCCAGTGGTGGTATGCCTCCTAACTTTGTGGTCGCTCCTAGCTCTAGCGTTGGCGAGCTGGGAGATTGCGATACGCTCCGGGCACCACCACGGTTTACGGTTGGAGGGCGGCGCCAGGCGAGCAATTGAACTTGTGTAGGAAGACTGCGGCGTAAGTAGTTTAGACAGTGGTGGACGTTTGCCGCGTCGATGGTCGCCGCTGGGGGAACGGCATGAGATTCTGCTTCTTTCGACCTTGGCAGCCTTTTCAAGGAATTTCAGCTCAGAGCTACCGGGCATACACTGTTGTCCAGCTGACGACCCCCCTCCAAGCCCCCCCTGACGAAATTGCCGTCTTTTTGAAAAAAAAAAGTCTCTGTTAAGTATCAGCAACTGTGGCCATAAAAAAGCAATTTTGAATGCCAAAAGCTGGTCGAGTTGCAGGTATTCTTTCGTGAATCCTACATCGAAAAATGATGATTTCAGTATGCGTCTAATGATAAATTCATGGTGAAGAGTCGCGAATTCGTTGTTGGGAGAATGAAGAAAAAGATCGACAACGGATTCGTTCTTGCCGGCCGATCGTGCAACGTCGACTCGATTCCTTCGGGCAAGGATGCCGTCAGGTGAATAATTTGGAGCCGTTTTTTCCAGTTTGGTGCTCGCCAGATGCCTCGTCGTTTGTGTGTGGGTGTGTGTTTACGGTTCAAATGTGGACTCTGAAATAATAATTCAAAAGTTTGTGACTTTTCAAGAGCCTCAGGAAGTATTAGGTTAGTAAATTTCGAAATTCGCTGCAGTTGTACTAGTCCTACGAGCAAACTCGACTTGCACGACTCTACCTCAGATTGATTTACGAGATGGGAGCAGAATAATCGGAAATGCAGGGAAACTGTCGGATCTGACGGATCGTGACTGTATTCAAAATTCTGAATGAGAATGATGTTTCCCCATTGTAATTAAAGGCAAAGTGTCAGGGCTCAGACACGCCAGAGAAGTATTCCCGTTGACTAGAGTTGATATGTAATGACATTGCAGCACCCTCCCACTTAAACCCCGGCCCAACCCCGGAGCGGTTCGGTTTCATCAGGCGCTGGGTCAATCCGGACCGCCCACCTCCGAAAGGCTGCCAAGTGGTGCATGGCTGGCACATAACGTGTGAATCAGCTAGGTTGATTGCCGTATCAACCGATAGAACGACTGATATCTTCAGAAAACTTGTTTGTACGTGCCTCTTCCCCAAGACCAGCCTCCTTCACTGCTAGTGGGAAAGAGGGTTTTGTTAACGGCCTTGTCGACGGTTTTTCTCAGTTTTTTCTCCACTGTCGTTCTACTTCGCATCTCTATACTCAGTTTCAATCGCCATAATACCCCCTTATTGAGCCCGACTTTTGCCTTTAAGGAGAATGCTCACCACTACACTACCTTTACCTGACCTTCGCGCTTGGAGAGCTCAGTTCGTTTCCCGCAAGGCGGATGTTCTGTGAGTAATCTTTCGGCCTCTTCCAACATGAGAGAAACCCGAAAAGTAGAGATCCATGAGCGCTTTTGCAGGCTCCGAATCCTTGTAGATTAGGTTTACACCAGTTGACGGATCCGAACTATTACGGCCATAGTACTTTTGGCCGATTCGTGAACTAAATGTCTTCAACTGTTCAAGAAGAGGTCACTCGCCATAGCCCTTCAATCTGATGGGGCACTCAAACCGTGAAACTTTCACCTTGAGACGGTTCTGACAGAGCGTGCCTAAACACTTTGTAGGTGCAACTCAGTAGAAGTTTCAGGACGAAAAGACGCCCGCACAGCTCCGATAAGCCGCTTCATTCACTTTTCATTGATAGCGTAAATAAGCAATAAAGGTCTATTCACTAAATACAGCTATAAACACAAAGAGGATTGAGAAATCGAAACATTTCGAAGTCGAACGGAATCGCGTTTTCTACCAATTCGTCTGTATGCTATACACGAGCCTTGCAGAAGCTTAAAGGCGATAGAAAGGGAGCGGAGAAGCATGTGCACCACACGAATCAGTTACTGGGTTGCCAGGGAAGCGAGGCTGTAGCGCGTTTGCCGACAAGGTAAGTCTGGTTGACTGAGCAGGATCCTTTCGAAAGCGCTCTGCCACTGAGTTAAGTTGGGTTATTGTCGGAATGCGCTGGTTGGCTGCCCAGACGGGCACAAACGGTCTGCGACAATTTGAAACTCAGGACTTTAACTTGCAGCGATTTGATGGTCTGCCTCGGGCCTCGCCCGTTAAACAGCCGGCGTTATGATTACTCTGACCTGATACAACCAAACTTTGACAATAAGTAATTGGCTTATCCAATCCGGAGTCCATCCTTACTCCAAGGCTTAGTCGTAAGGTTCTCGCCCCGCTGCATTGGGGAGCAGAACCGAGATAGAGAGCGCCTTCTCTAATTGTCTGCGCTATGGCTTCGCGACAGAGAACACAGGGGAGAGTTCAAAGGTGATCACGTAATCGGCAGCAACTGGACGCATTTGATCAGAAGCGTGATTTGGGCATGATGCACCAAACGCGTTGCGATGAACTCAAACTGTTCATACTCGTGTTTTCAGAACCTGCTCGATAGTGAAAACTACGGCTAATAAGGGCACCCTTTGCGTTTTTCTTGACGATCCTTCGCTTTTTTCGCCCCAGGTACATTTCAGGCACCACGTCTCCTGCTAACCTTCTCGAACTGTTGTAATCGCTGCCTATCAACGACAAATGGTGCGCTTGAACATATGCGTCAGACTTTACAGGAAGCTTTTCGCTTTTTAGAGCTAACAGCCTCAGAGAGAGAGAACAGGACAAACATGTTTTCACACTCTCTGAAAATCTGTCTTTTAGCTTGGTGGTAGGAGACCTTCATTGGTTATCACCCTCCCCTAGCCCGATTTAGACTTTCTGCGAACGATCGCATCGCTAGCGGTCTGCAGGTAGCATCCGGAAAGTGAAATTACTCAATCGGGGCTCTACAGCTAGCGCGACCGCGGAGCTAACGCTAATTCGCAGCGAATCGCAAAGTTGACATTCGGCGCTAAGGATTTATGCGCTATCTAGAGCCACTGCCAAAAGCAAGCATATTAGCCAAATGCGAGCCTCAAGAGATTTAATTAACGTTGTATGAAGGAAGAAGTGAAATGAGCGCTCCTGGGGGAACGCTCCAATGAAGTGAATATTCACTGAGACGGTGATATTAAGGCAAGCACAAAAGAAAGCAGTAGGTGGAAGCAGTTGATACTGCACAGTAGGTGTCGGATAGATCATGTATGTGCTAATCCTCAACAGCCGATGAGTGCCAATTCCTAGTTGCGTAGGACCGAGAGTTTCAGATATAATAGTGGTGCATTTCCAGATGGGCAAGCAAAGCCAAACTGTCCGTTGCTCTCGAAAACCTTGACGAACCCCCCTCCCCCACCACCAGGGATATTTAGGTGTGACCACTCATCAACACTATCAGTCTTTAGGGGACCTGTCAGACGACCCCCTACCCATATCACTTCCATCCTCACCAACATGGCTGTTTTTATAGGAAGGTTCGTGCCCACAGTTGGACACGCTCCACTGTCATTCACCTATCCATCCAACACGCGCGGCCGTCGAGGAGGATAAACAAGCCGCCGAACCCCTCATTTTTGATCACTTCCTACTACTATCAAACTTTCCCTAAAATTATTGAAAAAAAAACTCTTCGAACACAACCCTTTCTGAAAATCAAATGCGATCCCTCTTATTGGGAACTACGCAACGCACAACTGACTCTGAGCATGTTCGAGAAAGGTTTGATTCAAAAACCTCAAGACCTAAGCGATCGTTCTATGCAATGTCATTCAACTGAATGAAAGTAACAATTTTGAGGTTCTCTTGGGAGATAGGCTTTTGGTCTGGTCCACGTCGCTAGGGCCACCTCTTATGTATAGCATACATTCTTGTAAGGTATACGATCCTACTACTATAAAGCGCTTCGTCTGTCTGTCGTCTGTCGTCTGTATGTCTGTCACGAAATTCCCTAGCTCCTCGGGATCCGCCTGGAGGGACCGGGTCAAGTGTGGAATGGGTGGGCAAGGTCTCACGAAATACAAAACACACATCAGCTAAGCGGAGCCCCGCCCACAGAGGGCGTGGCGTGCGTCGAAATGAATATACTTTAATAACTTATTTCGATTATTAATATTTAATAATTTATTATATACCAAACCAAAGATTTCGATTTCAGTGACAAAACGACCTCGAAACTGGGCCAAAAAGTGGGTAAAGGTGTGCATTGGTAAGTCACATCGAATTAGGGAGACCCACCCCGGGTGGGCGGGGCGTTCTCCAAAAAAGCAGTGCTTTATGAAAAATTTCATAACTCGGTTGGGAGAAAGCCTACAGAGCAGAAAACAATTGGTGTAGGGAAGCAATGTCTAAGGTTTTCGTGGTTCTGGGCAGAACTTCTTGAACCTCGCTCTTGCTCTTGCTCGCCTTTGCTCGCCCTCAGTGACCACTCGAGTCACTGGCCACGCTTCTGAATGAACAAGGGTTTAGTAGAGCATTTATTGCAAAATCGACCTATGACTGACAGGTTCTTGAGTCTTGCGCAGGCACCGTCGTCCAGGCTCTTGTACCAGAAGAAGGTCTTGCAATCTTGACAGGCTCGTGTCACCGACTCCACTCTTCTAAGTCCATCCTCTGGTTTTATACCATCGACGTCGGCGGAGGCAGACAAGTATGTAAGCATAACCCTGAAGATAAACGGTTTCTCAAGCATTAGAATGTAAGCATAGCCTAAGATCTTCTAACCGTTTTAGTGCGTTTAGCAACAAAGGTATTTCCAGCATAGTAGACGTAGGTCGGAGGCCTGTCCCGATGGATGGAACGCGCCTCCAAAGGGGCTTGACCAAAGGCGGAGGTTCTGCGACGATTCAAAGTTCGGCTCCAAGAACATCCCGGAGACCTGCGGCGAAAAAAGGGCAGAGGAGTTGGCGAGGGAAAAGAGGTCAAATTCTATAAGTGGGGCGGAGTTTGCCAAAAGTGTCGTAATTTGGTTCCAAGAGGTCCCAGAGACCGGTGAAAAAGGGGGTAGAGGTCGGCGAAAGGAAGGGAGCCAAATGCTATTGGTGGGCGGGCACGCACCGAAGTAGGCGGAGTTTGCCACGAGATTTATTGTCCCGGAAGCAGTCCGGAGACCGAGAAAAAGAGGATAATGGTTGACGAAGAAAAAGGTTGAAAGCCGTCGATGATGGAGCGGATAGAATTTAGCTGAGAATTCAGATATTCGTGGTGTATTCCAATTTGAAATTTTCGTCGCACCATCAAAATTCGCCGCAGATCTGTGTTGTGCGCGCAATGCGTGCGGCGCCAACTGGTGATTTATAATTCACTTGGCGCGAACGCAGTTTTTTTGGTACTCATCGCGTACGATCGTTAAAGATCAGCGGCTGAAATCAATCATTATGTTGATCCGCTGCATCGACGCTATTCTACACTTTGTATTATTTTGTCCCATAAGGTAGTGACGGTTTTTTTCAAGTGGAAAATTTTCTCATAATCCCCAACTTTTTACACCATGTCATGGAGAAAGAGAAAATGGCTGCTCTATGAGCGGCTATGCTTTTCTTCCACATTTGTTGCAGGGTTTTCGAGTCTGCGAAATGGGAGGTCCAGCCAAAGAAATTTGAACAAACCGACTAGTAGCTTCAACTCTATCTTCCCCTAGGAGGATTCAACCTCCGATTCAACCATTGATGAGCCCTCAACTTGGTCACTAGCTCTTTACCATTCTATATATAACGTCGGGGAAAGCTTTGCCGTATTCTGACTTGAAAGATTGTTTTTTTTTTTCTGGATCGAATCCGTAAAGGCACATAGCGATTTATGAACTGGAGATTTTCTCTGAAAGTTATATGTTTACATGGAGTGATATACCGTTCAAGAGTGATTTCCTGCATACTCTCGTCGCAATTAGATTTCATATTCGTTCAAAATCAGAATCGCAGTTTTAGGACCTTGCGCAATAAGGTGGGGTTCAGTTCCATCGGACTGACACATTTCTTTGAAAAAATTTTATTCGAGAGATAGGAATTCAACCAGGCCTAATTTCTAACTTAGGACATGACTTGTTCTTAACATCTCCACTAGTTTTTCAATGTCTCGGCTGTAAAAAATTCTTAGATAAATTTCAAGAAATGGTGCTTGACCGTCGAGTTCTGGTTGAAAAGCCAAGTCTGGAAAAGGAGTAACGCGACTTGTTAAGCGCAAGCTAGGTAGCGAATGTTTAAAGGCAAAAGTCGGGCTCAATAAGGGGGTATTATGGCGATTGAAACTGAGTATAGAGATGCGAAGTGGAACGACAGTGGAGAAAAAACTGAGAAAAACCGTCGACAAGGCCGTTAACAAAACCCTCTTTCCCACTAGCAGTGAAGGAGGCTGGCTTGGGAAAGAGGCACGTACAAACAAGTTTTCTGAAGATATCAGTCGTTCTATCGGTTGATACGGCAATCAACCTAGCTGATTTCACACGTTATGCCAGCCACGCACCACATCCCATGGTGGGCGGCCGGAGCGCCTCCAGGCGGCGCGAGCGCTTAATGCATGCCCTGGGGCGTTATTACGGCGCCTTTTGAGATTCTGAGCATGGCAACGTCCCTGTGGGTGCGTAGCCATGCACATAGACGACTAAAGTGATTGGTTTGGTCCACTGAGCCTGACTCGTGGCTTTAAGAAAGAGGTTGTTTACTAAGATGATTGATCATCATCTGGTTCCTCCTAGGGGAACATAACATAGCGTTAGGGTAGTTGTCATTTGGCTATTCAATTCGCTCAAATGACTACTATCTGGCTAGGTATAAAGATTCAAAACCTTGACAAATGATTGTGGTAAGAAGCATGCTGTTTGTGCGAGAGACAATTCTTCTCCGAATGTGTTATGACGACAACTTTGCGAAAATGGAGAAATTTTCCATTTTGAAAAAACACTATATATAAGGAACTACATAAGTAGAAGAACAAGCCGTTTATGTTTTTTGACTTCTGGTTTTGTCCTATTTCGTACTATCTTTGATTAGATGGGTTCGCCGTCATTTTAGTTATTATTTCCTTTTCTTTGTGATGTAAACCTGAACTCATTGACGGTTGCGCCTGTATGAACTTGAATCCTGATTATATTCATGAACCGGATTATATTCATGTGACCTCAAGCAGCTTTCCCCCTCACGAACTTGCTTCCTGGAAGAAGGAAAAGAATTTTTAAGGCCCAAGTGGCCAGACAGCGAGGCTTATTAACAGTCCTTTACCGAGTTCTGGGCTACGAGTGTGAGTCGGCCAACTTCGTACCAAGTATGCATCGTATTTTCATTTCAGAGGATTTGTTCATGTCGCCGCTGGCTGGTACGCACCAAACCCAGAAGATCCAGAGAACTCGTCCATCTACGAATACGTGGTTTCAATGGATCTCAAGGGAATGATAGTGAAAACCGTCGCTAACCAGGTATCTCTCCATTCAAGCGGAACATAACACCATGAAAAATTGTTACACGGCTCGTGTAGCGCGCTCAATTCACGACAAATGGCCTGTTTGACATATTGCTCGGGTTTGAAATGATTGAAAGCGTAATCAGAGTCGCATTCGGTTCTCAGGCAACTGACCTTATTGTTTTGCAGGCTCTGGGAAAGATGGTTCGTGATGATATGGAGAACAATCGGATTTACGCCCTCAAAATGGCTGCTCGTTGAGGATCATCTGGAATTTTTTTCGATTGCTAGGATCTAAAATAAATATTTCATTGCAAATCTTCCATCGTATTGTAATTGGCTTTCAGCAGGACGCAACGCTTCACATGAACATCCTCGGAAAGCTATCGAGCATAAGCTGTCCGATGCTGCTTTCATTACCCGGCAATATATGTGGTGAGAGGAAGGCGTTTGATGGGGCAGGCATGTAGGCTAAATTTGCTCATTTCAGCCCAATAGGGAATAAATGAGCTTTTATTTTGAGCTCTAAGGGGCGTTGGCTGTGCGCGCACGTTTTCGACGAGTGTCTCAGGCATATTGCTCCTGCTCGGAAGGAGCGCTTTTCATCCCTAGGGCAAGATCTTGAGCTTTCTTCTACCTTCATGTGGAAATCAGATTCCAATTTTGTTCACCACGGTCTGCTCACAAGGAGGGTCTTTCAGGACATGGAGCGTTTTTTCAAAATGGTTCCCTAGTTTTTGTAGAGGCTCATGTGAGGAACACAGAACCATGGTCCATTTTTCCTGAACGCCCCAGGAATGTCAAAACAGCGGGAAGAAATGGTCCAAAGTTCGATCCTCCGTGATGACAAATTTTTGCAATTTATGTTGGCGCCTCCAAATTGCCGCAAAACACGACAATGACATCTATTCTCGACGATGGCGCCATTTGGCGCAATCTGGGGCGCCAAACTATATTGCAAAAATTAGTCATCACCGGGGATCGAACTCTGGACCATTTCTTCACCACTGTTTTGACATTCCTGGAGGCGTTCAGGAAAAATGGATTCTGTGTTCCTCGCATGAGCCCCTACAACATGCAGAAAACCATTTCGAAAAAGCGCTCCATGTCCTGAAAGACCTCCCTTGTAGGAACAGATGGTATTAGTATGCCCTCACCAACCAGATTTCCCCCCCCCCTTATTTACATAATGGCATACATTCCAAATGGCAGCTCCTTTCTCAGGACAGCTATAGATTCGCCTCCCTCAAAGGTGCACTTGTATCGAAAAAACCACCCAGGCATGGGAAAGAACTTCCTTAAAAACCACCCAAAAACTGCTTGTTTGATCAGAATTTCAGGCGCTATCCCAAGATACGGTGGCATTTTCTAGGACTGAGGCCAGAATAGAAGGACAGGGACTTTAGCGGAAATGAAAATTGCTAGCGCAACCTGGAGTCTCTGCTTCTCCGCCTGGGCTCAGACAGCGTTCAGAGTTGGCGATGTACATACGATTAGGCGAATAGGCGGGTAGGCGATTAGACGATCGCTCAATGGGTGCAGCAACAAATCAATACGTATCCTTCTGTTATCGCCACTCGCCTAATCGCTTACTCGTCCAATCGCTCACTCAATCGCTTATTCGCCTGATCGATATCGCCTAGTCGCCTGATCGTCTAATCGCATGTACGATTGCCAACTCTGAACGCTGCCTAGCCTCTTTTGTTAACAAAAAGGACAGCGTGATCCGTATTTCACGCAGTTCTAATGGATCGCTATCACGATGCCCCGTATCCTGCGATAGCGCGAATCTCATGCTTCTCGTGAACAGCAATAGGTGGCCAAAAAACCCGACTAGTCACTCGTATTCGTATTCCTAAGTTAATTTTTTTCGATGCTGTCAAGGCTCATTGCGACGACTGCTAGCGACGGATCGACATTGGCTATTCGCTGAAGTGTGGTGTTTTTCAGCTAATTTCCATCGTCTCGGTGCTAAGCTCTGAAAAATTAATAACGAGAGACGGCCTATGCCTTTCTCATCACTCAAATCTGCTGCCTCGTCCTACTTTCTTCTGCTTGCTTAGTGGATCTCATTTTGCTGCTGA